CCGCAGGGGGCGCTCTGTCCATGGTGCTGACTCGGGCAGTCCCAGAGCAGCAAGGTCAGGTCTGGAGGGCTGCTTCTCTCACCACCCCTCTCACCCAGCACTGCAAATGGAGGCCAGGGCTGCAGAGGCGGCCAAGCGTGGAGCCCGAGATGGGTCGAGGCTGGTGATCTCGACTCAGGTCCTCTGGCCCTGCCTGCACAGGGGGCAATGGTGGGCTCTCTGATTAGCAATCTTGATGTCCCTTTTCATTTGTGAGAGGGAGACTGCGTGGTGCAGGGGGCAGGGCCCCAGGATGGGAGTCAGACCTAGCTGGACAGATACAGTAACTTACTAGCCATGCTGGGGAGAGAGTTTACCTAAACATCTTGGTTCCCCATCTCCTTATCTTGATTAGGAAAAACAACAGCTGCTTCAAGGACTGTTGCGAACTAATTCACCCATAGTGATGGACAGCTGCCTTCTCTCTGACCTTTTTCCTTTTTAGGTAATTACTAAGACCCTGATGTCACTGTGGCCATTCCTGGTCATTTGATTGATGAGAGTTGTAGGGATCAAGCCCCTTTGAGGCTAAATAACGGGTCAGTGATGGCAGGTTCTCAGCTCTCCTTCCTGTCATTCTGAGGCTGTCTTGGCAGCTGAATGCCGCTTCACACCCTCGAAGGAAGTGAAAGTGAAAGTTGCTCAGTCAGGTCCAGCTCTTTGCGACCCCAGGGACTCTACAGTCCATGGACTTCTCCAGGCCAGAATATACTGGAGTGGGTAGCCTTTCCTTTCTACAGGGATCTTCCCAAGCCAGGTCTCCCGCATTGTAGGTGGATTCTTTACGCCACCAGGGAAGCCCAAGAATACCAGAGTGGGTATCCCTTCTCCAGCGGACCTTCCCGACCCAGGAATCGAACTGGGTCTCCTGCATTGCAGGCAGATTCTTTACCAACTGAGCTATCAGAGGGAAAAGTTTATTTCCTGGTTTAGAGGATGAAACAGAATTCTGTGAGTTCCAATTCACATTATTTATTAATATATTTGGGTCTTATTTTTCCTAATTGGCTGAAAGGAGGCCCTAATTCTGCCTTCACTAGATGTTCTGAATATGCACTGCAGTGAAAGAATATATAAATGCCAAGGAACAAGCTATGCTGGGTGGCAGCACAAACACAGATCCTTGGTGACAAAGGGTTAAGATTTCTACTTGATGAGTTCCTAAATCTTGGCTCAAGGCAGCCAATCTCTCCCATGGTCTCTTTTATCAGGTGGTTTTCTTCTGCCTTTATTCTCCGATATGACATGTTATACAGATGTAACATAGATGTTTAAAGGAAAGGAGAGTGGCAGTGAGGGGCTGGAGAGTCAGGATGCATGGGGAATGCACGGGTGATGGACCCCTGGCTTCTTGCTTAGAAAGGTCAGTACGGACACAAAGACAAAGAGCCCAGTCGGACAGGATGTCTTTTAGAGACTCTGGTATACTCCAAGGTCTGGGTCTTTTATGAAGATAATTTGTCACACCACTCCTTTGGAAAAATATAGCCTGTAGCCATCCTCAGAAAGGCATGAAGTTATAAACTGGAAATTCTTCCCAGGCTGAAAATCAAGGTAAAAGCACAGAATTCATCCCTGAGGGAGAATCTGCCTCCTCTCTGGGAGAAAACAAATGATCAGAGTTTTGATCTGTGCTGTTACAGCCAGCTGCAAAGTGGGGACTCAGGGAAGGAGGGGTTTCGGAAGACAGCATCCTCTGTGGCCAGTGCTAAGGAGACACCCACCCTGGGAGGCTGATGTAATCATTCAAGTGACAGAAGACAAGGGCCTGAGTTCAGGTAATAAAGAGGAGAGGGCAAGGCAGAGAAAGATTTTGTTAAGCAGCAGCAGAGAATTAATGCCTGTAACAATTTGAGGGAAAGAAAAGGAGGACAGACTTTAAGATTTAAGCCTACTGACGTTGCTGGTTTTCAAGGTAGAGAAAAGGGGCCTTGAGTCCAAGAATGTGGGCAGTCTCTTGAAAGTGGCAAAAGTCAAGGGAACAGGGCCTAGTCTGGTGGTCCGGTGGTTAAGAATCTGCCTTCCAGTGCAGGAGATGCCGGAGAATGCAACGGCACCCCACTCTAGTACTCTTGCCTGGAAAAGCCCATGGAAGGAGGATCCTGGTAGGCTGTGGTCCATGGGGTTGCTGAGAGTCAGACACGACTGAATGACTTCACTTTCACTTTTCACTTTCATGCATTGGAGAAGGAAATGGCAACCCACTCCAGTATTCTTGCCTGGAGAATCTCAGGGACGGGGGAGCCTGGTGGGCTGCCATCTATGGGGTCGCACAGAGTCAGACACGACTGAAGCGACTTAGCAGCAGCAGCAGCAGGAGATGCAGGTTCAATCTCTGACTAGGGAATTAAGATCCCACATGACTCAGGGCAGCTAAGCCTGTGCCACAACTAGAGAAACCCTTGGGCCCCAACAAAGACCCAACACAGCCAAAATAAAATTTTAAAAAAATGTCAAGGGAATAGACTCTTTGAGAACCTTAAGCAGGCAGCACAGGCCTGCCGACACCTTTATTTTAGCCCAGTGTAGTTAAATAAATTAACTAAGGTAAATTTTGAATTTATAGAGTCATAAGATTTTTAAAAAAGGGCTTCCCTGGTGGTTCAGATGGTAAAGAATCTGCCTACAATGCAGGAGACCCAGGTTTGATTCCTGGGTTCGGAAGATCCCCTGGAGAAGGGAATGGCTAACCACTCTAGTAGTCTTGCCTGGGAAATCCCACGGACAGAGGAGTCCATAGGGTCACAAAGAGTTGGACATGACTGATAGACTAACACTTTCACTTTCAAGACCAAAAAAAAAAAAAAAAAGATTTAAGACTAAACTCTTGAATCTGGAAGGGGGAAAGAAAGGATCCTCCCCTAAAGAATCCAGAAGGAATATGATCCTGCTGCCCACAGGTTGATTTTAGCCTCATAAGATTTTTTTTGGACTTCTGATCTCTAGAACTTCTGATCTCCAGAACTGTAAGACAATAAATTGTGTTTTAGCAAAAAACAAATAAACAAAAGAAAGATTTAAGCCTATAGTAAATGGATACAATGTCACATTTGATGTGATCACAGAAGGTCTGGGGAGGTGGGTGGGAAGATGATGAATTTGGCTTTGGACTTGTTGAGTTTGACCTCCATAGGCGGCCAAAAAGTAACCAGAAATAGAAACCTGAGGCTCTCCAGAAAGACCTGCTGGTAGGATGAGCTACAGGAAGCTCTGCCTTGTGTTTCTGTGGGGTATCCATCACTAAATGTGATTTTGGAGAGATTTTCCCAGTGAGCATTTGGGGAGATGCCTGCTTCAGCAAACCAAGAAAACACATGGGCCTTCAGTCAGCCCGTCACCAGGCTGGTTGCACTGGTCTACCTTGGCAGTCCTCTGTGTATCTGGTTCCAGGGAGGGACATCAGCCTGGAGAGATCTGGACTTGTTGGCACACAGATCCTCGACTGCAAACACTGCAACCAGGCAATCTCATGCTGTCCCAAGCTTTTCTCCAAAGCTTCGTTCCCCAAACCCACAAATAACTCAGCTCACAACAAACACTTGAAAAAATAGCTAATAGGCAACCAGCCCAGTGTTTCTCTTCTTGACTAATGCTGGCAAAAAAAAACCCACCAAGAAGAAGGGGGGCCAGGTACCTGTCAAGTACCCCTGCATTCCCCTCTGATTATGAGTTCATGAACTGCTTAAAGGCAAGCAAGTCTCCCTTCATGCTGCCACCCCTCCTGGTGCTACTGTTCCTCTTTGCTTTATAGAATGACTTTTCCATTTATCTGAGAAAAGGTAGCCCCCATTAAAGAGAATATGACACAGAAAGTATGCTCATCAGGGATGGAAATGGTGAAGATTAGTTCTGACATGTTCCCAGCTGTTAAACCAGTCAAAAAGGCATTAAGAGCGAGTTTACATTTACTCCATCAGCTGAAATACAGACACATGCTCCCACCTATGAGAGGCACCTTTACCTCTGATTTTGCCTCTTGTAGTATCAGGGTAGCTTTGATTAAAACTGCATTCCTAGTCATGTTCTTTAGGAAGAACTCAATTGTAATGCAATGGTGTCCTGCTCTTGAATTTCTGTTCACATATTTTAAAGGCACTGAGTCTATGCCTTGAGTGAAAGGGTTGGTGTGCATTTTAAGACTGAAGCATTTGAACCCAAACACCTCTGCAACTATGAAGCAGAAATAGCCTGGTGCTCAACAGACAGGGTACTCAGAGATCTGCTGGGTCTGGGAGCTCAGATTCAGATCTGTTTCACATGATTTACATCAGTACTTTGCCCTTGAGCCCCTGACGTGATCCCCCCTCTGGCTTCACACAACGTTTTCCAAGCCCAAGTGGTTAAGTCTGGTTGTCTTCATTAGATTGTTGCAAACATTAAATGTAAGAAGCATGTAGTTCTCTGCAGTCACAAAATAAAACTTCTTACACTAAATTAATGGACAGAAAATTCCTACTGTTTCTGAAATATTATTATACCTTAGCTTCCCATACTGGGAAATGCATTTATCTGTGGTTTGTTGCTGAGTTGCAACTATTCCTACCTGGGATAAAGCGCACAGGTTTCAAGAAGCCAAGCGGCACTAGTGGCAGAAAGAATACACAGACTTTTGATATGTGGCTTCAAACACCAACAAAGGAATCCCCAGGTTTGTGTTTTTCTCAGAGACTCAGTTTCCTTTGAGATATATGCCTTCTTCCCCTCGCCCCCACCCAAAAAGCAAAACCAAAAAGGTTTTACCTTCATTCAATACAAGCATCCTAGTGCCAGAGCAAAAACATGTATGTCCAAGCCTCACACACTCACGCCCTGTGTTTACATGGAACTCTATACCATGACCTCTACTCCTGGCAGCGAACCAAGATAAACTTGAGTTCCCCTTTCTTTGATTGCTCTACCCTCCTGGGCTTTTCTGACAAAGGGGGAAAAAAAGCAAAAGGGTGGATACCCAATGTTCGTACCTGACACAAAAGTATAAAACCACTGGTCCCGACTTTTTGGGGAAGTCATGTTCCAAGACTCTTCGATCTAGCTGAAGCCAGTTCAAGTGCCCCCTGTGGAAAAGAGAGACCAGTGGATTAGACCTTTGGGTTTTGCCAAAGTTGCTTGGGATGAAGGTCTGTGTCTGTATATATGGTACATGCTGGAGCACAGATAAACGTGGACCTCTGCTTCACTCTTCACTCTTAAGTTCTATAATTTGTAGACACCAAAGGAAATATTGGAGAAATATTGCATCAGCAGGAGATACCGTGTAACAATCAAAGTTGGGGATTTGAGACCCGCAGTCCATTTCCTCGATAGCACTGCAATGAATAGGCAATCAGTCTCTTTTTTTTTTTCTGTCCTGAATTCCCTGACCACCACAGGGAAGAAAGACAGTCTTTTCTGTCATAGGCCTCCAAACACACTTTAGAAACATGTTACCAATCTTCAGCATATCTTGCTGGAAGCAGATGGGGTACAAAGTGAATCAGAGACAATTTCTTTAAAAATGAAGCATACACCTAGCACATGACCCAGCCTCTCCACTCCTAGGAATTTACCCAAGAGAAATGAAAGCAGACTTCCATACAATGACTTTCACACACAGATGTTCATGTTATTTGTAATAGCTCGAAACTTGAAACAACCCCAATGCTGATCACAGGGGAATGGAACAATTACGATATAGAAAGGAATACTACCCAGTGACAAAGACAATGAGCTATTAATACACAGAGCAACAAAGATGAATCTCAAAATAATTATCCTGAGTGGGAGAAGCCAGACAAACAGAGTACAGATTGTATGATACCATTTATAGAAAACTCTAGAAAGTAAAAACTAGTCTGCGGCGACAGAAAGCAGATTGGTGGTTGCCAGGGGTGCGTGATGGGAGGACAGTGTGTGTGTGTGGTGGGGGACAAGCAAACCTTTGGGTGTGATGGAGATGTTCATTATCTTGAAGGTGGTGATGGTTTCTTGAGTGCAGACATATCAACACTTAGGAAATTGTAAACTTTAATTGTGTAGTTTACTGCATGTCAATTTTACCTCATTAAAGCTATTTTAAACAGTGAACGATGGAAATACTTGATGAAATGCAAATGGGGTCACTTCTGCATTTATTTTTTCCTTCCCTTCCTCCCTCCATTAATATTAATTGATCATCTTCTCTGGATAAGGATCTAGAGATGTAGCAGTAAGCAAAATTAACACAGTCCCTTTACCCCTGATGCTTATATTCTTGTCAGGAGACAGGAACTCAGCAATTATTTTCACAATTAATTCTGCAATTACTAATAGTATTAGGACCTGTAAGGACCCAATCTAGTCTGGGGGTCCAAGAAATGCTGCTTGATGTTTGATTGAGATTTGAAGAATGACGGGAGGAAAGCAAAGAGGAAGAGGAAATAACATTCCAAGCAGCAAGGCCAGCATGTGCAAAGGCCCTGAGGTGGAGAGAAAAACCTGGCACCATGGTATTATGTGAACAGAAAGGGATGAGGCTAGAGAGTGGGGACCAGGGTCTTGGTGACAAGTTGAGGAGCTTGGTCTTTGAAGAGCAAGACAGAATCACAGAACAAGGGTGAGCAAAGGGATCCACCTTGTCCCTTTCCTCTCCTTTCCTTCCGCAGTCTCAGCTCATCATTCAGAAGGGCTCAGAGTCCCATCATCTCTGTGACTCAGTAAGCCCATGCTGAACAGACACTATTGCACAACATTTCTTCGGGGCCTGATGCTGTGTAACACTGGTGTTTATAACGTATACACCCATGTGAAAGGCTGTGCTTACTGAACAAAAGGTGTTGCATCATTGTATTAAAAGGTTTGCTCCTCCAAGCCTCCAAAGAATGAAAGCTGGAGGCTTTCCATCTCCATTTTGAGATGTCTTTCAAACCACACCTTCTGCACACAAAAATAAACAAACCCCTCTTTCAACTAAGCCCAAGCCCATGGCTCCAGAGATGAGGATGAGGGCTGCCTCAAAAGAGTGTCCATTGGAGGAACTCTGGCCTCTTTCTCCTCCAGGCATTTTCATCTAGACAAAAAAAAATTTTTTTATTAACTTTATCTTTCATGTTTAAAGCTGTTTCTCAATTCTGAATATAAGGGTTAAAAAAAAAAAGAATGGAAAAAAGTTCTCTGTGCAAAACAATTGGACCAGCATTTTCCAGAAAGGCAGGATAAATTTTTCTTCGAAAGAACATGGGGTCTGGAAACAGAAGGCCTCAATGCCACCATTGTCTCTGGTCAGACCTGAAATGTTGACAATGCCCTGTGGGGATCATGTTGTTTTAAACCTCTGTGCCTTAACTCATGCTGTTCCCTCTGCCTAGAATGCCCTTCTTCCTCTTCACTGCCCAGTGAAGTCTGGCCCACCCTTCAAGACACAGCTCTCCTGTGCCTCCTCTGGGAAGCCTTCCCTGGTACCCCTTCCTCACACCACACACCAGTCTGGGCTGTGAGTCCTCCTCTGGACTCTCAGCACCCATCCTGGGCACAGCTCTGCTGCTGCCCTTCCCAAAGTCCATGGAACTTACTCTGTGTACACACTTTTCCTCAACAGACTTTCTACATACGAAAAACACAGATCTACTCCCTCAGGTAACAGCGTGTGCATTTTTGATTAACTGGAAGGTAAGACAAACAGACCTCATTATCAAGGTGTAATAACCCACAGTCTCCCCCCACCCCCACTTCAGCCTCTGAAAATGTCAAAAATCTTCCAGGATCCTCTCTTTGTGCTCAGCTCCTACAAACATGTCATATGCACGCTCACCCCAGGACTTCGATCATTTGGTTTCTCTTCCTTGGAACATTCTCTCCATCCTCTTTATCTGAATGCTAGCCACTATTCAAGGCCAAGTTCAAATCTTACTTTTAGTGAAGCCTTCTGAGTGCCTAAGTCTGGGTTTTCCTTCCAATGTCTCCAGAGGTTCTGGTTTGTGTCATCTGCAAGGCATTTAACATTAGCCTAGTGCAATTAGTTATTTAAAAAATAGGACCTGTTTCTACAGCTCAGTTGTAAGATTTCAACATTAAAACAGAATCATCCCTAGAACACAGTATAGCACTTGGCAAATATTACGGATGCCAAAGTGCTTGCTCACTGGTTAGATAACTACCTCTTAAAGAAGCTGAGGTGTGCCCTGATCTTAACTTACAAAAGTGACCGAGAGACAACCATGAGAGGTCAAGGCCACTGAAGGGAAAGTTTAATGTTCCTCATGGTTTCCTGGAAATGAGAGGCACCCACCCCATACAGGGTCATGAAAGGAAGCTCCAGTGCTGTTCATGAGGCAGAAAGGAATATGGGGAGGACGCAGGAAGAGACTTCACTGGGGTTTTCATGGAAAAGGCATGGGGGAAAGCTTAGGACTGGCTAGCCTGAACAGTTCTGGTGGACCTTGAGTCTTAAGAGCTATCCCTGGTTCTCTGGTAATTGGCTCTGGGGTGATTAAGGACGGGAGGGGGAGTACTGGCTTGGGGTTTGGGAGCTGCTTAAAGGAGGTGGTTCAGAGTGTGGCCTCAGGGTCACAGAACTTTGGCTGTTAGTTTGGGATGGAATGGAAACAACTTTAGCTGTTAGTTTGGCCCTGTAATTAATGGTCCCAAATAAATACAGAATCGATAAAAACTCAGAATAGAAATTCATCCAATGACTGTGCAGGTTTAAACTTTAATCTTTTGCCTTGCAATAACTCCTGATAAAGAATCTGGTGAGACTAACCTTTTCCAGAATCTTTCAAGAGAGAGACTAGAATGGTGCACAGCAGTTTTCCTATGGTTCCAAATGCAAGGAATAAGGAGGAATCGAGATGGAATGTTCTACTTGTGCCCTGAGGATCCATCAATGGGTCAGGCTTGAGAAATTCTCATTCCACCCAAGGGCACAACATTTCTAACCACTCAGAGCGCTGGGGATTTGACCTGGTGGCCATAATTCACTTGGTGGAGAACCTGAAAGTGGGAGTCCTTTGAAGAAATACAGACATGGTTGTTACTAAGGTTCTACTCTACAGGGTTTGCTCATTGCCCATCTTCTTCATCCATGTTAATGGAGAACAAACAGGTAGATGGATCCCGTTTCCCTAGGTAATTTTATTGCCCACGCTAAACTTTTTTTGAAAGAACATTAAAGGGACGAATTCCTTGGTTCCCAGCCATGTATTAGTTCAGCACTGATCAAACCATGAAATGACTAATTAAGAAAATGGTCAAAAAGCAGAAAGAACAAGGCCAGAATTCCCCCGTAACTGAATAGTTGGCCTTGGAGGGAAAATGAACTTCCTCCCCCTACTTCCTCTACTCGGATTCCTCAACCCCAGTTCTGCAAGGAATAATAGCACACACGCGCGCTTGCACGCACATACACACACACGCACACGCACACACACAAGCACACACGCACACATACACACAAGCAGGGTTCTGAAATCCTTGGGGAGGGCTCTCCCTGCACCTGGAGTCCTGCGACCCTTCCACTTTATGTGCCTGTAAAATCTCTCCACTACAAAGGTGCTACGAAAGGAAAGACTGAGGCACCAGTGACCCACCCTGGGTCCCTGAGGATAACTGCCCAATATCTGGGCAAAAGCTAAGGGATGGGTTAAAAAGGAAACTGGAAATCCCGTTTCTGAGGCCACCACTTTCCATGCATTAAAATAATTTCTGCTGATAGGGTTGGGTTCAAGGTCACATTTCCTACACCCAACAGCATCAAGGATTCTTCACTATCCGTGATTTTTTTTTTTCCCAACATCAGGTCTTTTCCTCAAACCTTGTTTTTCTTTTCTTTAAGCTAAAGGTAGGATGGGAAGCAAAGAGCAGAAGAAGCATTTTTTCTATACAGTTTAACTAAGAGATATCTGATAGCTTGGGTTTCATTATCTCATTGATTTTTCATTTGAGAATTCACATCAGTACATTGGCCTATAATAAAGCAAAAAAACAGTCCTAGCAGACGCTCACAGTATTTTTGTTAATGCTTGACTGATAACTATCTTTAAAGCTGAGCAAGATAACACCTATTTGGTTTATGGAGGCAATAGGTCAAACTGTTGGGTCA